TGCGATGGGTTAGAACATGTTCTTTTAGCTCATTGTAGTTTCTTACTACCCATCTTCTGAAGTCTGATTCTGTCATTTCATCACCCTCCTTCTCCATCCGGTCTGGTTCCCTTGCTGGTGAGGAGTTGTGATCACTTTTAGGAGGAGAGGTGTTCTGGTTTCGGGAGTTTTCATCCTTTTTACGCTGGTTTCTTCCCATTTTTGTGGGTTTATCCACCTGTTGTCTGTCTCTGTCCCAGGGAGTTGGAGCTTTATGAGTTTCCGTTGCACTACTGCCTTTTTTGATTTTTTTTTTTCAGGTCGGACCCGCCCAGCTAGCAGCACGCCTAGCCTCTGCCTGCCCGCAGGGGCTTTGCTGAGCTGCTGTGGGCTCCGCCCAGCTGCCCTGAGCTCTTCCCTGTAGTCCTTTTTATATGGGCGTAGTTAGAACTGTCTGGGCAATGGTGGCCCCGCCTCTGTTATGGCGGACTCTCTCTGTTGTGGCAGGTTGCCTCGGCAACGGCAGCCTGCCTCCTTAGCGGTGGAGAGTCTCAGTAATGGCGGAAGCCCCTCCCCCACGGAGCCGGACCGTCCCGGTTCAGCTGTGCTTGGTTTGAAGGGCTCAACCCAGAGGGTTTCCAATTACTGTTTTTGTTTTCGTTGTTGTTGGGGGTGGAGGGGTGGGACCAACCGAGCCTGATCACCTGGCTCCCTGACTCAGAGTCTTTTCTTTTAAGTTGAAGGACCCCGCGTTCTGGTCGCTTGTTGAAAAGGCGCCGGGATCTCCCGTGCTGCGACTCACGGAGTCGGCTCGAACCGCGGCGCCGGCTCCTGGCGGATTTTTTGCCTAGGAATCTCCTGACCTGACTCACTATTTCAGATGAATGGGCTATTCTGCCGTCTCAAGGCTCTGCTCGCCAGCTAAGAGGGCTCCCAGACCAGTGGTTTTTTTACGGAGAACGGCAGCAACAGGGAGTGGTCACAGCAGCCGCGCAGGCGGAATCAGCCCCGCGGGGGCCAAAACAGCCGCACCGGCTGGGACTGCGACGCTGGCGACCCCTCTGCCTGGGTATCTCCTGGTCTGTGGGCAATAAGAGTTCGTCTGGAAATGCGGCGTCCACTCACCCTCTGCACTTTCACTGGGAGCTGAAGTCCTGAGCTGTTCTTAGGCGGCCATCTTGAAAGTCGGAAATGACATATTTTTCTAAGGATTAAGTAAGATAATCAGTGTGAAATGCCTGGCACAGGAAGTACGGCATGTAATTTGTATGAGAGTTCATTTTCAGGGATAAAACTTCCCATTTGACTTTTGGAGGCACACACTCGCATTCTTTCTCACTCTCCCTCTCCAGTTTGTATTTGCCTCCCCAACTCTGCCCCACCCATGGAAGGGTGACTAAGATAGTTTTGTTTAGGAAAGTTTTACATTAAAGACCTTTCAAAACAGTTATTTGAACATTTGGGTATGTATATATTCTAGTCTTTTCTGTTGAAGTAACAGTCTGGACTTACCTGTCTGAATGTCTTATAGAATTTTTTTGGGTGTGAATTATGCTGCTCCCTTTTTGTAGAGCCCCTGCTGTGGTCTGACTGTCCTCCTTATCCTTCCTAGCTCAGTTACAAGGCCTAGGAACAGATTTGGGAGGCTTCCTCCAGTCAGGGAATTGGCTGAACCTTTCTTTGGGTCCCTCCCTAGGTCTCTGTCTTAGCACTTGACAAATTTGACTCCAGCTTTGCTCTTTCAGAGCAGGACTGCATCTTTGTGTCTCCTGCATAGTTATCCTGACTGTTACTGGAGAAATGTGTGAATTAAGCAGCATGACTTTAGATAGATCACCTAAACACTGAAACTTACTTTTCGCATCTATAAAATATGCCTTTCCGCTCTGGACTGTCTCTCACTAAGGTCATCAATAAAGTTGCAGTTGCTAAATTAGGTGGGGGGTTTTGAAATTTATACTCTAGGACGCTAGACAATGACCACTACTTTGTGACCCCCCTTTCCCAGGTCTGCGCATTCTCACACTTCTCAGAAGACTGCTCCTTGGTGGCTCCTAGTACTTGGCTTTGGAAGTGTCCGTTGCAGCTCTTTAGAATTCTGCCCCATGTCGTCTTGTCTTTCCATAGCTTTCCTTCAGCTGTGTCTGCTACTCCCAGATTCACAGCCTGATGGCTCCAGAGCAGTCTTCCCACACCATGTGTGGAGTGTGCATGCATGTCCCCTGGGCACCCTCACGCTAAGCATAGCTGAGGCAAAGTTCATTCCTTTCCTCGAACTGCTTTTTCTCCCTCTATTTCCCTATCTTGATGAACACTGTCATCATCCAGCAGTGACTTGTTGTGTTTTCCCACTCCTTAATCCCCCCATCTGGTTACTAGTCCTGACAGGTCCAGCGCCAGGTGCTCTCCGAATTGGTCACCTCCTTGATCCCCTGGCAGCTCCAGGCCTTCCTTTCTCAAGCGGACTGGAAAGGCAGCTTCCAGTCTGCTCTTGCATACTCCATGTGTCATTCCTTCCTTCTGCTGTAGAGTTGGAGGGTCAATCTTATAGCTTCCTTGTTTTAAAAATCTTCCATGGTTTTGCCATCACTATTGGCTCAAATGCCTTGGCGTGGCATGCAAAACCCTCACTTCTGAACCACCTGCTTCCAGCCTCATCTCCCGTGATCCCTGGCTACACTGCATTTGCGCTTTCATCTCTCGTGATCCCTGGCATGGCATGCTGGGTGTTCACACTTTCATGTCCTAGTGCTTCCTTCATGTTGTTTTCTTCTTTCAGATACCCTTTCCTACTGTCCAGCACAGTGCTTCTTACACCTTGAGGATGATAAGAACCTGTGTTTTCATTTTATTTTTTATACGTAGTTTTGGGCCTATCCTCCCAAAGATTTTGAATGAGTGTCCAGAGTGAGGCCTGATCTCATTTTCTTTATCCTAAAGATGATAATGTTGAAGAGAGATGATTTCAAATATTCTGTAAAATTCTGTATGTGTGTTGTCCTCAGATGCTTAGAAAGAATCATACTTTGTTTTGTGGTGTAAGAATAGACAGCTGTGGAGAGGGGGAGGGGAAGCTGCCCTTCCAATGGTTGTCGAGATCAGCGGGATTGGGAAGTGCTGTCCACCCACCTCACTCCTCACCTCCTTCATGGCATGCACCCCTTCAGCCTCTTTACTTTGTGGTGTCTTAAAGGATGTTCTACATAACTGTTAAAAAGACTGTCATGTTGGGTTGATGTTCCTTCTGTATATGTTTGTTTTCTATTAGGTTCTAAAGTCATACAGAACTATGACTGGGACCCATGCATTTTAGATTTCCCATATTTACCCATAGTAGATGATCAGTAAATTTTTGTAAATTAGGAGCTATCTGAAAAAAAAGAAATAAGAGCTATTCGAAGCAAAGTTTTAAACTGTAAGAAGCCATGTAGATGTGAGTAGTTAATATGAAGAATACTAATTTTTCCATTCTGTTTACTTTTTGCTTAATTAAAAAAAATGCTGTTAGAACACTTTAGAAGGCAAAAAATATTAGAACCTTTTGGAAAGACATTTTGCTTATATTATTGAGTCTGTTTTAAAGATCAATTGCTTCTTAGATAATGTACAACAATGTTCAACTCTTTTTCTCCTTGAAATGTGAGAAAGAGAACATGCTTGTCTGTGTCTTTAGGCAGAGATATCTCTATGGGTCTATGGAAATAGCTACATGTAGATAGTGTGATTTGTTCACAATGTAGGTGCCTGAGACACTGATTGTTTTCTTATGTATGTTTTTGCAAGTTCCTAATGTCAATGGATTTTTTCTTTTATTTATAGACTTTGACTTATTATTCCTAAGATTCTATTAGAATATGTTTCATAAGAGAGAAATGGAGATTTTGGCCAGGTGTGATGGTTCATGCCTGTAATCCCAGCACTTTGGGAGGCAGAGGCAGGCAGATTATTTGAGTGCAGGAGTTCAAGACCAGCTTGAGCAACACAGTGAAAACTTGTCTTTATAAAAAAATGCAAAAATTAGCCCGGCATGGTGGTGTGTGCCTGTAGTCCCAGTTACTCGGATGGCTGAGGTGGGAGAATTACTTCAGCCTGGGAGGTAGAGGTAGAGGTTGCAGTGAGCTGTGGTTGCACCACTGTAGTCCAACCTGGGACACAGAGCAAGACCCTGTCTTAAAAAAAAAAAAAAAAATGAAATGGAGATTTTTCTCCAGTCTTTACATGCCATGAGAGATTCTTATTCTCAGCCTTTTTACTTGGAGAGAAAAGAGCAGCAGCAGTCTTACCAAAGTGTATTTCACTTCTGTAAGTCAAGAACAGTTTAGTTCCTAGTGAACTATGAGTAAATTTAAAAACTGAGGTTGGTGGACTTGAGCTTTTTGAAGGCTGCTTTGTCCCTTATCTGATTCATTCCTTCTCCTTGGGAGCCAGTCCTTGAGATGCCTTGGAGCTCAGCTGCAGGTTCCCACTGTTCACAGTGATGATGTTTAGGTCACCATAGACTCTCCTTTACTCCCATTGCCACAGGCGGTCCTGCATCCCACCAGATCCTCCAAGTCCCTGGTGCCCTTAATAGTCTCAGGGAGCTTGGGGACTTTGCCTCTCCTGGAGCTTTTGTGAAGAAATGTAGTGATCTTTTTCACCAGTTACAGGGTTCCCTCAGTCATTAAAGCAAGTTTCTCTTCCTCTTAACCCATAGGTGCCTCTGGCCGTTTTGTTTCTGTGTCTGCAAACCAGTGCAACCAGTTTCTTCCAGGTGTCCTTCTACACCTCTCTGCATGTGGCTACACCTGTCCCCTGCCAGGTGTAACAGAGACCACATTGGTGGGCATTTGCCCATCACTTGGAACTTGAGGCTCATCCTTGCAATTTCCCTTAATTTTCGTTTTTGGTTTGTATACTTGGAAGATCTTAATTTTTGTGTAACTTTAGTGGTTTTTTTTTTTCCTGAGAATTTCAATGTAACATGAAATGAAAAATTCAGGTCTGTGTTGCTAATATAAAATTTTAATTTTTCTTTACAGGTCAACTTTGTAGTGTGCCAACTCTTTGCCTTGCTAGCAGCCATTTGGTTTCGAACTTATCTACATTCAAGCAAAACTAGCTCTTTTATAAGACATGTAGTTGCTACCCTTTTGGGCCTTTATCTTGCACTTTTTTGCTTTGGATGGTAAGTAATTATTTTGATCCTTTTAAAATGAAGACTATTTGGATATATTTGAGAATTGAGTGTGTAGAAAGATATATTATGTAGGGTTTTATTCTTACTAAGTTTTTTTCCATAAATTTTTATTTTTAAAATAAAAAATTAAGAATGGGAAATGGGCTCTCGCTTTAGTCTTAGAGGAAAATTTACTATTTATAATTTATGAACAGACAGATGAAAAAGGATATAAGGCATTTTATTCCGTCATGAGTTCTTTATACGTATTTTGCATACCTTTTATACTGACAGAAAAACCATTTAAAATGTGTTTTTGTTTGTTTGCCTGTTTTTTCTCTGGGAAAGCAGCTTTTAAGAGTCTGATAAAGCCTACTGATAGAACTTTATTGGCATTTTTTTATTGGCATTTTTTTGCCATTAGCAAAAAGAGACTTTTTGTTTGTTGATTTGTCTGTTTTCCATGGGGAAGAATTATTTATGATGGAAACCTTTTATTTCTGACTTTTCAGTTGCATGTTGGTGTTTTCTTTCATTAGGTCTCTTTTTCAATCCTTAGGGCTACCTGAGAGCCTTAAATACAGAAATGCTGTACTTCCTGTTTGTTACAGGTAACTGTAGCTGTGGCTGTAGAAGAAATCAGAAGGGCACACTGTCTTGGCAAAACAGCAGAGACTCCTAGTGGCAGTCTCTTTGTGGCCTCTTCCTGAGCTTTCCTTCTTACGTGAGCACTTGTGCTGCATGCTCATCTGCTGCAGTGTTTGCCACTCACAGGGAAGGACTTCTAGGCTTGCTCTTCTGCAGATTGTTGTTTGATATCAGAATTCCCTGAGAGGTTGAACATGCACTCACTACGTCTGTGCTTTAGTAGTTTCTGTTGTAGGGTGGAGAATCTGTGGGACTTTGATGATGCTTCTGTGTTTGTTCTAGGATGTTGTTTTTGATGGTTTATGAGAGTTGGAATACAATGATATTTCTTAATCTAATTTTTGCCTCTGGCAATTGCAAATGTTTCTTAGAAGCTCATGAAAAATTAAGTAGGGATAATTTATTCAGTCTCTACCATATTACCTCTGATAGGCACTGACCTGGTAGATAGTGTTTAGTATTGAGATTTAAATATGACCTCTTAAATAAGCCCAAGTCTGGTCTTTTTTGCTTCATTGATGTCACAATTATATATCACCATTTTCTAGAGGTTTCTCAGGTATTACTATTTAAACTTTTTGTAAATCATGCCATGGATAGTGTATCTTTTTTTAAAAGTTTTGATTATGGAGCTTTTCAAACACAAAGATACAAAGAACAATATAATGAGCCCTCATACGCCTGTCACTCAGCTTCTACAATTATTAAAATTCCACCATTCTTATTTTATCCTTTCTCCAACTTATTTTTGTATAGTATTTAAAAGCATATCCCAGTCTATACGTTTCATCCACAAATAACTTCAATATTCAGTATATATTTGGGTAGCATATATCCATAAAGCATTGGGAAAGGCTTGTAGTTCATATTGGCCAATTCCAGGGCACACCATTCACTTTGTGGTCTATGGAGACAGAGTAGAAGATAAAAATATAAATAGTATCTCTTACAGTTGTGTAATATAGCAGTACTGCAAAAGATGAGGATGCATCTCTTTACTTAGAAACCTTTTACTGAGGAAGTGTTCTCTTGCTGTGAAGCCTTCTTGGATGCTTTGTAACACAATGCCACAAGTAACCTGACATTGTTAATGTCAGTTAGTCTGAAGTATTTCAAATTATATGTGATAACCAGGATTTCTTTTTTTCTCTTTTTTTTGAGATGGAGTCTCACAGTGTCACCCAGGCTGGAGTGCAGTGGTGCAGTCTCGGTTCACTGCAACCTCCGCCTCCCGGGTTCAGGTGATTCTCCTGTCTCAGCCTCTCAAGTAGCTGGGATTACAGGTGCCTACCACCATGCCTGGCTAATTTGTATTTTTAGTAGAGATGGGTTTTGCCACGTTGGCCAGGCTGGTCTCAAACTCCTGACCTCGTGATCCACCCATCTCAGCCTCCCAAAATGCTGGGATTACAGGTGTGAGCCACCACACCCAGCCTTTGTTTTCTTTTTTAAGACAGGGTCTCACTTTGTTGCCGGTGCTGGAGGGCAGTGATATGATTATGGCTCACTGCAGCCTCAGTATCCCAGGCTCAGGTGATCAGTCCTTTCATCTTAGCCTCCTGGCAGCTGGGATTACAGGCACACACCACCACACTTGGCTAATTTTTTTTTTTTTTGCATTTTTTGAAGAGATTGGGTTTTGCCATGTTGTCTAGACTGATCTTGAACTTGTAGACTCAAGCAGTCTGCCCACTTCAGCCTCCCAAAGTGTTGGGATTACAGATATGAGCCACTTTGCCCAGCCAGGAGTTTTTTTTTTTTTTTTTAAATGAGTTCTTCATTTTTTCTTAAAGGAGAAAGCTTTTCATATTCTTTCTTTGGGAAGAGGGATTGTTTATGCCTCTGTATCATGTGGAAGATAACTCTTTGTTAATTGGGATATATTCTTAACTAATAGGGATATATTCTTTTGATTTGCATTTCAGTACTTTCTTTTGTAGGCTCAAAGACAATCATACCTGCTATCCATTTTGACAACTTCTCTTTTGGAAAACATGTTAGTACTCTGTAAATATGTAGGCATGCCTCAGAGATGTCGCAGGTTTGATTCCAGACCACCGCATTACAGTGAATATCGTCATAAAGCAAGCCATACAAATGGTTTTGATTTCCCAGTGCATTTAAAAGTTACATTTACCCTATAGTCTATTAAGTGTGCAATATAATTATGTCTAAAAATGTACGTATCTTAATTGAAAGATACTTTAAAAAACACTAAGGAACATCTGGGTCTTCAATGGGTTGTAATCTCTGTTGAAAGAGGGTCTTGCTTTGATGTTGATGGCTGCTCACTTATCAGAGTAGTGTCTGCTGAAGGTTGAGGTTGCTGTGGCAAATTCTAAAAATAAGGCAACAATGAACTTTACCATAGTGATGGACTCTTCTTTTCACAAAAGATTTCTCTGTAGCATGTGATGCTGTTTGATAGCGTTTTACCCACAGTAGAACTTCTTTCAAAATCGGAGTCAAACCCTGCTGCTGCTTTATCAACTAAGTTTATGTAATATTCTAAATTCTGAAGTAAAAGCACAGTCTAGGATGGCTGATTAGAGAGTTTCAGCATGCCTCAGCCACTTGGAAATAGCATGATGGTACATAAAGATCAACTCTCTGAGCCTAAATTCAGGAAGGAAAACGGGAATTCACCAGAATTGTGAAGGACACCCCAGATCCTGAAGAGAACACTGGCAAACAGCCCCTGTGATAGCATCCAGTAAAAGTGAGTGAAGCCCCAGTACATGAGAAAGGCAGGAAGCCTCTCTCTATGATTCACCTTTCCACTGGGGATCTGAGTAATCCAGTCTGAGGGAGAGCACTTTGTTTCTCCAAAGCCCTGGAGCTAACTTGGGAAGAGGGTTGGAGACACATGAGGGACAGACATTGTGAAAAGCTGCAGACATTTTCCCAGACCTGGGATGGAGAACAGGACACCATTTTTAATCCAGGCACATATGAAGCTAGCCATTCCTTGGTGACTCAGCAGCATGGCCATGCAGGCGTTTCAAATTTGGTCCAGAGATTAGAGCACCTGCTCTGGAGTGAGGTAGGGGCTTTCATAACTAGAACTGTGGAAAGCACCTCAGCTGTAGGGCTAGAACTGGGCTTTCCTCCATTGCAAGCCCGGAGCAGGAGGAGAGCTGCTAAGTTGCAGTTTCTCCTGGGCAGCAAGACTTGCAGCCAAGGCCAGCTTGGCAACCTGGAACTGATCCATGTGTGCCATTGCTGGGTGCCCCACTCTGCTCTACTGATACTGAGGTATGACAGGGTCCTCTCTGCTCTACCCTCAAGCAGAAATCCAGACATTTGGAGCATCCATTTGCCTGGACCAGCAGCCTGAGCCAACCCCCCACCCCACCACCGCCCCCACCACTGGACATAGATCCTGGTGCAGTGATGCTCTCTGCTCCATGCCCAGGCAGATCTTGAGGCATTCAGAGCACCTGCTTGTCTGATTCAGCAGCCTGAGCCACCCCACCTTTCCTGGACGTAGATTGCAGTTTAAGAGGACCCTCTCTGTTCTGTGCTCAGGCAGATTTCCAAGCATCTGGAATGGCAGTTCTTCTAGATTAGAAGTTTAAGCCTTCCCCCATTCCTGTGTAGAGAATGTGGAGCCCAAATTGTTTCCCAGCTTCATGTCTAGGCCAATCTTGTGTGCTTGGTGGCTGCCCTCAATATTCTCCCTTGGCACTAGCGTCTATGCCTGCCATCAATGGATCTGTAGGCCAACCTGCTCTGTTTGGCCCTGCTCTTAGTGCTCCCCCTTCCCCCTGTGGCTGAGTAGGGAGCTTACACCACTGTACCCTCCACAAACAAGTTTATTGCCTGAGGCAATAGAGAGCTTCTGCCCATAAACAAGGATCAAGTATATAATCAGCCTTGTTGGCTGCAGCTGGCTTTCACTTTTATAAGCACCATTACACCATCTATGGACATGTAGGTTGAACTCTACTGCCCAATATAAAACCTGCCAAAAGAAGTGTATAGGGCTATAGAAGCAAAACCAAAAAGCCCTAGCTAGAATTCTCTACAGTCACACTCATTAAGGAGGGAGAAAAAGGAAAAAGGAAAGAAAATAACATAGGGAAAGAAAGAAAAAGAAAAAAGCCTTACCTTCATGAAAATAATTAGAAAAATTAGAAGTGCCAGCATCTGTAGATCAGAAGGAACCAGTGCAAGAATTTTGGCATCATGCAGTGACACCACCAAATGATTGCACTAGATCTCCGGCAATAGACCCTAACCAAAATAGAAACTCAGAAATGACAGATAAAGAATCAAATTATGGATTGCAAGGAAGCTGTGAAATCTAAGACAAAGTTGAAAATCAACACAAAGAAACTTCTAAGGCAATGCAATCCAGG